GGGGATCTGCAAACAAAATATTTCTGTCAGTATTTCTCAAAATCCCTCTAGTCTGAGTTGTAGATGTAGATGAGTTAGATCTCACAGAGGGCCTTTAAAATAGCGAGGTCTGGTTTCTGATTCAGACCATTCTGTTTCCGCAGATGAGGAAAAACCTTTAGTATTCGCCCTGTTGTTAGTGAATCTTCTTTTATTTTTATTTTTAAAGATGTTACCTTCCTGAAAATCTCTATAATCCCTTTGGAATTTGTAATGCTTTTTTTGTCTCATGTTCTTTTTGAAATTTTCTAAATTTTTATTGAGCTTTGTTTCTATGGCCCCAAAATTTGGTTCTTTGTCAAAAGTTTTTATTTTCTTAATTTCTATATCTAGTTCCTCATTGGTCTTATCCAAATTCTCCTGTTCAAGTTTGATAAGGAATTGCATTATTTTTGCTGAGCATTCTAGCAGAATTGAATTCCATTCTGCTATCTGTTCTTCTGTTTTTACTTTATCTGGTAGTAAAATGTCAGGTCGAAGACCTCTACGTACCAATTTCTGTTCTGTGTAGTGTCTCAGACTAGCTAATTCCCAAAAGCTATTTAATTGTGTTTGGCACAGTTTTTGTATTGCAAAGAATGCATGGTCAATATCAGTGGATTCACCATTTATATTTCCTAGAGGTTTATTCGAGAACACTTCGAGATCTTCCGATCTAAAGTCTTAGTTTACTACCTGTTCCAAAATGTCCGTCATGTTAAAACTGAAAGTTTTTGTGTAATTTTAATTTTGTCAAGCGGCTTTTTTAGTTCAGGAGTGGCCACAACCACAGAGAGAGAGACTCAGGGACAGGAAAAAATGGGGGTACAAGACACACAAACCAAACTATCAATAGACGTACAGTCACAACATAACAACAAAATAATAAATCTGTCCAAGTTTAATTTGAAAAGTAGACATATATACTCCCTCCAGAAACATGTTTGACTGGGCGAAAGATGTAAATCTCTTTGGTAGAAAATTAGCTTTGCATGCTTTACATGAAAAAATTAACCTTAAAAAGGTAAAGGAATTAGGTCTCTCTCCTGAGGACAATGCTGTTTACAAACTCCTCACTGATCTATATTCGGAGCAAGAAACATCTAATTCTCTCACCAATTTTAAACCACCAAGTTGGTTTACTCCGAATTTAAAGGAATTTCCTTATATTGATTTATTTGTTCAGATTTGTACAAATGAATTAGAAGGTCAAATTCCTCAACAGTCATACATTCCCAATCTAAAAATAGAACGACAAGCATTACAAGAATTGTGCTCAGCATCTGAGGTCATAATTAAATCCTCCGATAAAGGAGGAAACATTGTCCTCATGCAGAGGGACCAGTACATAAACATGTGTATGCAACACTTAACAGATGAAAGTGCTTATCAGATACTAAAAGCTGACCCTACCAAAAAGTTCCTCATGGAACTACAGTCACTAGCACAGGGAGCCTTAACAGATAATACAATCACTCAAAATGAATATAGATTTATTGTGTCTTAGTCCAACATTACTATTGCCACATTTTACTGTCTCCCAATGGTACACAAAGATCTACTGAATTCCCCAGGGAGACCTATAGTCTCAGGCAACCACTGTCTGACTGAGAGAGCCAGTCAGTTTTTGGACAAATTATTACAACCTTTGGTCTTGGGCCTTAACTCACACAAACGGGACACAAAACAGACCCTTTTAGCTTTGGAAAACCTTGTGGTGACCCCGTATACCTCTTTGGCAAGCTTGGATGTGGTGGCACTTTACAATAACATTCCACACGATAGAGGGTTAGCTGCTGTTGCCTATTTCCTTGCAAAAGTCAAGACGTTTAATCAACGGGAACAGGACTTCATCCTACAGCTATTAAAATTTGTGCTTACACATAATTACTTTACATTTAATGGCAAATACTTTTTACAACTGCGAGGTACTGCAATGGGTTCATCTTGTGCACCCAGCTATGCCAATCTGTTTTTGGGGTGGTGGGAAGAAACCATAGTCTTCACGGATCCTAATGTCATATACACTTCGTCAGTATTTAAATGGTATGGTTATATTGACAATGTGTTAATTTTTTGGTTAGGTTCGTTTACACTGTTTGAGAAAATGGTGGACACTCTAAACAATAATCAAATGTATCTTCAACTCAATTAGTCTTCCTTGATCTAACCATAGGCATTTTGGAAGATGGACACATTTCCACAACACTATTCAGAAAACCCATGGCAACCAACAGTTTGCTACACTGGCAAAGCTTTCATCCGCATCATGTAAAGGCCAATATACCAAATGGCCAATACCTTAGAGCCAAAAGGAACTGTTCCAATCCAGAAGACTATGAGATAGAAGCACAAAATCTAAGACAGAGATTTAAAAGTTTCGGCTATCAAAACAGAATTTTAAAAAAAGCATATTAAAGAGCTAAAACTGTGGATAGATCAGAGAGTCTTCATAAACCATCCAAGATCACACAAACCACTACGGGGGCTACAAGGTTTATAGGGACATATGACAAACATTGGAATCAGACCTTACAGGTACTAAATCGAAATTGGCCGTTATTACAACACGACACAAGTCTGAAAAATACCATTACGAACAAGCCTCTATTGACATACCACAGAGCCAAGACTTTAGCAGATTTACTAACTCAAAGTCATCCAAAACCTGCACAGACTACATCCACTTGGCTGCAGACCAACGGCCTTTACAGATGCGGGCACTGTAAAGCATGCCAGTATATTTTACCTTCGAAAACAGTATGGAATAAAACTACATTTAAAGACATTTTGGTGAATTCATTTGTCAACTGTGGGTCAACGAATGTTGTTTATCTCATAACCTGTGACTGTGGCTTACAGTACATTGGGAAGACATATCAACAACTATGCCGACGTGTTTTGCAACATATTAATTCTATTTTGAATCCACATATGGAGACACCCATAGCGAGACATGTACGTGTAAATCATGCTTCATTACCCAATGTACTCAAGTTTCAGGTAATTCAAAAATTTTCCAGAACCACAGGAAAGGGGATATAAACGTTTCTCTACTAAAAGCGGAATCTCGCTGGATCTATCTATTTCAAACGTTGTATCCCAAAGGACTGAATGAGGAGTTTAATTTTACTCCATTCATTCATTCCTAATGGATCGTGATTATGATTTAAGGTTATGACAAGTTTCTTTATTGTTTATTGTTATTTTTTTGCTACTATTATTTTTTGTTTGTTTTTTCAGATAATTGAAATATTAATTCTCATCATATTTATTTATCTCTGATATATTTATTAGACCACTACTGAGTAATGTATTCACCACCTGACCCCAAAGATGGTTGTTTCCCTTCATTGTGCTTCATCAAATGATGATTTACATCTTATTCATTACCATCCTTCAATACAGCATGTCATTCTGTCCAGCTTAGCCTTCGGGGCCATTCTCCACTCCATTGCACTGTCCTATCTAGTACTGGATATCACAGTACATTGAATCTGTATTTGTGACTATTCTAAGAAGAGGACAACAATCTTGGAGTGTTACTGTTACTATTTTAGTAACTATTATTTGTTACTTGATGTCAGACGTGCAGAACATATAGATCGTTCGCTTCATATATATCTTCTCTTCTCTTTTTTCATAATTTCTTGGCCATTTAATTAATTTTGGCTTATAATGACAACTGGCACATACATAAACATTATAAAGTGCGTGTGAATATTAACACTTGGAAATACCACTCTTTCTTGATTGAGACCTTAGATTTATTTTTATGTCTTCAGAAAACTTCCCTTGAGATCCCTTATACTAATTCTTTCTGTCTATTAGTTGCTTATATTCCTTTTTAATATGATCTGTTCATATATTGGTGCAGACACCTAGTTTTTTAGGCTTTCTTTCAATGCCATCTGAGACATATACCTTTATTTCTCTTGAAATTATTCATTTTCTTCTAGGTCCCTTGGAATATCCCTTATGTTGGAACAGCCCAATAATTGGGAGTGTGATTTTACACTATCCTAGCAAGAGAACATTTGCCTTGACAATTTATTCCTAATTTATATCACTGTGGATCAGTTATTTACAGTTGCCATAATTATGGCTGATTTATATTCCTATTCTGACACTTTATTTCACTGTGGTGTACAAATCTTCTCTTTTCCATTTGTCGTTCTAAATGTCACAAAAAGATAGAAAAAATGCAGGCAGGCTTGGGATGTCTAACAAATCCCAGTCTAACTACATTACCTGGGAATACTATATAGCAATGTAGCGTGAAGGAATATTAACTAGGGAATATATCCAATAGAAACAATCTAGTAAAAAATATAGAATAAATATAACATCAATACTAGTAATCCTATGATCTCTAAAGGGAATGCACATAGGTCACAGCAAAGACCAGGCAATATGTCATATCAATTGATAAAGAACCTTTACTCCTATATGACAGCTTTAATGAAGTACATATGCTACATAGGAAAAGGTATACGTATATCTATCTAGTTGCCAGTGTCTATCTTCCTGAGTGCAAAAAACCCACAGATATCCTGTATCCATATATATATTTTGTAAAAAAACATGGAATAAATGTCTGTCCCCTTTACACCACGTGGGCGGCAGACGCAACACGGAAGTAGGAGCAGCTAGTTATACACACGTGGGGAACATGTTCTCTGCATACAGATTGGCTGTTGGTAGGAGGAACACCTGGGCACTTAAGGTATTTAAGAGACACTATTATGAATAGCAAGCTGGCCCCTGACGAAGGTGCACTCTCTAAGCACCGAAACGCGCGTTGGGCGTTTTGCCAATTTCTACACTGGGCACTGAATGGCACCCTAGCACTATGAATTGCACTTAACACTTTTCTCTTGTTCTATTTTTCTCATATTCCTATGCCTGTCTAGTTAGTTTACCAGGGAGAGAGGCTTTATAAATTTAAATATACATGGCAGTTTACTTTTGACTGACCATTTGTTTCTACAAACTCCTTCTTTTCTATCCTACATTTAAGTCTCTCTCCATATTTGACTACTCTAGACTTTTATTTCCTGTACATTGGTAAAGTCTGCTGTTTTGTAAGATCTCTTTCCACATATGGCTTAATTCAATACAAACTTTTTTTGTGGTTGTATATACGATCAGCAGACATTTATTCCATGGTTTTTTACAAAATATATATATGGATACAGGATATCTGTGGGTTTTTTGCACTCAGGAAGATAGACACTGGCAACTAGATAGATATACGTATACCTTTTCCTATTTAGCATATGTACTTCATTAAAGCTGTCATATAGGAGTAAAGGTTCTTTATCAATTTATATGACATATTGCCTGGTCTTTGCTGTGACCTATGTGCATTCCCTTTAGAGAGCATAGGATTACTAGTATTGATGTTATATTTATTCTATATTTTTTACTAGATTGTTTCTATTGGATATAGTCCCTAGTTAATATTCCTTCACGCTACATTGCTATATAGTATTTCCAGGTAATGTAGTCAGACTGGGATTTGTTAGACATCCCAAGCCTGCCTGCATTTTTTCTATCTTTTTGTGACATTTTCTATTTGGGGTTAAGCCCCGTGGAGACCCCTGGAGTCTCTTGGCGGTATTTAAGACTCTACTGTATAAGTGTGTCCTCCCTGTTGTCTAGGGAGGTGTTACACACAGATACACGTATGGTCTTAATTATATGTCTGTAGTTCTAAATGTGACTATTTTATCTATTGAATCCACTTGCTGGATACATTGTCGTTAATCTCTTCCATTGCCGAGCCCGTTAGGGTTAACCGGCATTGGCATCAAGCTCCGCCACCCGTTCCGGATTGGTGAGATTTTCGTCCAATCACGGAGGTGGGCGGGATATTTAAACGACCGTTATACCCACCTTCAGTTCCCTTGGAAGAGCCTAGTTTGAGGCGAAACACGCGTCGGGGCTAGTCTAGAGTGAGGGTGGTGGGACCAGACAGACTAGGACTATGCTGCAGCCGAATTTATAATTCAGTTCCCCTGTAACCGCCCTTCCTCCTTATATATTCTAGATATCCTTTCAGTGATTTATTATAGCATAGGATTCACTTTTTGGTATGTGTGTATTATGTGGGATGTAGGGTACTCTACTATACATCGTTTATTAGAACGTAGTGTTAGAGAGATTCCATTGGATCTATTCAGGCTATTTACTTTTTATTTACTCTAATTTAAGCACTACCCCCTTATCCAAACCAGGGGAAACCAGAGATCCCCTTATCCAGGGGATTTTTTTCTACTTCTATTTAGTATTTGAGTCCCTCTCTCCCCTTAGTTCAGCACCCTTTTGTTTCACATACACAGGTGTGCTATAATCATTTTCTTTGAATTTTTTTATTTTTTTTGATCTTTATATAGTTTAAGTGTGATTTTATAAGAATTATTAAAAGTTAGGTTTTATTTTATTAGGGGTTGCTCATTATACATTTAAGCTCGCAGGACTGCGATATTGCATCCTCTGGGGTTTTTTTGTATTCCTTTTCTTTTTTTGTAATTATTATTATCACAATCCATCCCTTGATCACTCAGCGAGCAAACCCTCACACATTTACACATACCATTCAGGTTATCAGCCGGGGAAAACCCATTTACCCACTGATTCCCATATTGCTCCATTCACACCTGGAACCAATTCAAGTAATAAAGTTCTCCTAGTTGAAGGTCACCTAAGTTAGCCAATTTTAAATAGGATAAACCTGTAGCCTAAACCTTAGGACATATCTCTTCCTGCTTAACAATCCTAAGTAAACTCGTCTAGCCCTATACTAGTATTTATTTTTTAATCTAGCAATTCTTTGAATGCAGTACATTGTAATTTTGTAGCACAGATAAATACAAAGTATAATAAAAACACACCATGCAATAGCTTTTGTTATTTTTAACCCAAGCCGTCCTATCCATTATCCCATGCCAAATGTCCAATCAAAGTCTTTTGTAGCATTAGCTAGCCAGTGTCCTTAGTCATCTGTGGTTAATGGTTTTCTAAAGCATTTCTGCACCTCTTCTAAATGGTGAAGTTCATGCTTAATTTTCCCTGATTCGTCTTCTATCCACACACAACATGCCTTGCCTCATATTCTGTTACACACTCCTCCTTCTGCTGCAAGCAGGAAATCTAAGGCTATTCTGTTCCGCAAAGCTACCTCTCTAATCTGTTCCTGTTCATAGTTAAGTAGACTAATTGTGGTTCCTATGCTATTGAAGGCATCATCAAGGGTGTCAATTAAAAGATTTAAATTTGTTATCATTAGAATTGAGCGGACACCTGGATGTTCGGGTTCACCAGGTTCGGCGTGAACTTCAGCAAAACGTACGAGTTCGGGTCTCGAACTTGACCCCGAATTTAAACGTTCCTGCAACTTTTACTACCACTGGCATTTTTACTGTTCCAGTACTCCAAGAAATCCCAGGTGGGGATCATACCACCAACGCCCAGTCATAGAGCAGTACCTCTGCTCTATCTTTGTGAGTATTATTGTATCTGTTATTTTACTCCTGTATCCCATCACAATTGAGAGCACTATTGCTGCTTTTTATCCCCTTCTCTTGGAGCTTTGGATTACCAGACGGTGCTGACGGACGTACTACCACTACAGATCCCATAAGCGGGGATTATACCGCTGTACGCTATCCACACCAGAGCTGGCCATAGCTCCCTCAAATGTGAGTTTCTTTTTCTATCTACTACACTTCCAACTATATCACAATTGAGAGCACTATTGTTGTTTCTATCTCCTCTTTCGAGTTTCGTATCACCAGACGGTGTTGACGGAAAGTCCTCCCCTACATATCCTATAAGCGGGGATCATACCGCAGTATGCGATTCACACCAGAGCTGGCAATAGCTCTCTTGAATGTGAGTTCTTTACTTTTGTTACCTACCACACCTTGAATATTACATATTACACCATTGGTCGCCTCTACCTCTCTTGTATTTTCATATACTGAACGGTGAAAACCAGACGAAACTACCTCCACTAGAAAACCTTACCCAGTATCTTCGACGATCCATCAATACTTCACTGGACTTTTGGCGCAGCCCTCATATCTCTTTTCCCCATTTGTGTTTACTCATTGAAGGACTTGAGGGGTTCCCTTCTTTTGGGTTGCTGCCTACCTTTATTAATTGTGTGATAATTAGCGCTGAATTCTCTCTTTTGTGTTTATAAGTAAAATGTATTGCCTAAGTACTAAAATACTTACCCAGTGGAAGAAGAAGAATGTTACATTGTATACAATTTTATATATAAAGTATACAAACATAGTCAGTATTCAGCTGTAAGCATTTGCAACACTTACAACAATCAAGTAACACACATTCATATAAAATGTAAATTACTTGGCCAGTCAGTGTAATGACAGGAATGAATAAGTAGATAACTCCCTAATTCTCACGAGATTACTTAATCCACCAGTGTTATGAATCAAATTACACAGCGTGGGAAAATTCCAGGGAACTTTCCCACGCTGTGTAAAATGACACAGAGCACTCTGATTGGTGGATTTCAAGCCAACCAGAGTGCTGTGACAGGTAAATGTAGAGACTTACCTGTCAGTCTCTTCATTTACCTGTCAGAGCACTCTAATTGGATGGCTTAAACCAACCAATCAGAGTGCTCTGAGCCTAATTGCAGGGCAGGGCAAGGCTTTTATAAGCCTTCCCCCGCTCTGCAGAGCTCAGTCTGCGCAGAGCCCTCTATGGGTGAAGGTGGATTATTTTTTTGGCACTTTTTTTTTTTTTTAGTGAGTCGGTTATCATGGAATTTTATTTGGCCTTTTTTGGGGGCTGAAAAAAGAAGATTTTAGAAGAAAGAAAACATCAAATGGTAAGTTTTATTTAATTTTTCTTTTACAGGTACTTAGCTAATGGTCCCCCCTCATTATGTTTAGGGTGAGGGGGGGTAGGTAGGGGTTATTTTTTGGGGGCAGGGGGGTGACTAGGGGTTTGGGGACCCCTAGTCACCTGGGGGAGAGGGGGGTTAATTTTTTATTTAGGGCAATATGTCCCCCCCTTATTGGTATTTAGGGCCCCCACCCACCGCTCAGGGGTGGGGGCCAGGGGGAGCACATTATGTACCCCCCAATTGCTGTTTAGGTCCCCCACCCACCGCTCAGGGGTGAGGGTCAGGGGGGAGGACATTAGGTCCCCCCAAATTGCTATTTAGGGCCCCTAACATACCACATAGAGGTGGGGACCAGGGGGTAGGACATTAGGTCCCCTCCACAATATTTAATTAGGGCCCCCACCCACCACTCAGGGGTGAGGGTCAGGGGGAGGACATTAGGTCTCTCCCAATTGCTATTTAGGGCCCCCACCCACTGCTCAGGGGTGGGGGCCAGGGAGGAGGATATTAGGTCCCCTCCCCAATTTTTATTTAGGGCCACCACCCACCACTCAGTGGTGGGGGCAAGGGGCGAGGACATTAGGTCCCCCCCTAAATGTTTTATTTAGGGCCCCCACCCACCACTCAGGGGTGGGGGCCAGGGGGGAGGACATTATTCTAATTTAAGGCCCCCACCCACCGCTCATTAGGTACCCCCAATTCTTATTTAGGGCCTCCACCCACTGCTCAGGGTGGGGGTCAGGGGGGAGGACATTAGGTCCCCCCCAATTTTTATTTAGGTCCCCCACCCACTGCTCAGGGGTGGGGGCCAGGGGGGAGGACATTAGGTCCCCCCTCCTTATTGGTATTTAGGGCCCCCACCCACCGCTCAGGGTGTGGGTCAGGGGGGAGGACATTAGGTCTCCCCCTTATTCTAATTTAAGGCCCCCACCCACCGCTCATTAGGTCCCCCCAATTCTTATTTAGGGCCCCCACCCACTGCTCAGGGTGGGGGTCAGGGGGGAGGACATTAGGTCCCCCCCCAATTTTTATTTAGGTCCCCCACCCACTGCTCAGTGGTGGGGGCCAGGGGGGAGGACATTAGGTCCCCCCTCCTTATTGGTATTTAGGGCCCCCACCCACCGCTCAGGGTGTGGGTCAGGGGGGAGGACATTAGGTCTCCCCCTTATTCTAATTTAAGACCCCACCCACCGCTCATTAGGTCCCCCCAATTCTTATTTAGGGCCCCCACCCACTGCTCAGGGGTGGGGGCCAGGGGGGAGGACATTAGGTCCCCCCTCCTTATTGGTATTTAGGGCCCCCACCCAACCTTCAGTGGTGGGGGC